AATACGTCGTTTCATCAACATTGCATTTTTTCCTTTAATTGAATTAAATAACAGGATAGAAGGCTGCTTTAAATAAACTAAAACCACTGATTGAAACAATTAAGGTTGACCTTTGGCCCGAATGATCATTACCTTGAAAACGTAGCAGCCCGGGAGATGATTGCCTGTTTGCAAAAACGTCCAACATATTTTACAGCCATTTTAACAGTAAATACTGGTTGACTTACGTATTCAAACTGCAAAACAACAACAACAACAACAACAGAGTCAACAAACTCGTTGGTACTGAGAATCCAATATGGCGATATGTGCACTTATGTTAACTGTGATGGCGCACTAACTAAGCGAACTGTGAGAGCGCCACCAACAGCATTAATATTATTCGTAATTACTATTTTATTACAGATTGTACTATCGGCAGAACAAACCTATTTTCTTCTTTATAGATATTTATAAATATAAATGCATATATTCAATTCAAACTGAAATGAAAGGTTTCTATTACCCAAAGGAGTATCATTTTAACCTTTTTTTAAATTACACAATTGCTTGATATTGCACTCGTCTTTAATGACTGTTTGGATTTCAACTGTCTTTGAAAATTAAAAATATATATACAAATGTTAAGCACGGGTTGCTGATTGGGTGAAGCTAGGCCATTTTTAAATTATATGATGTGACTTGTCAACTGCTATTTCGAGTTTTTAAATATTTATTAATAAACCCTGACCCACATTCACGGCTATTCCATAACGAGTGTATTAAGCGTTTTGCATAAATTGTCAGTAATACTTTACATTTTAAAAATGTAGGTAGTTAATGCTGTTGTGCCATGTAGGTGACGTCGAGCCAATCAAGTCAATCACTATTGAATACTTCAAGTATTGGATGACAGCTAATAGAGACATTAAGATGCGCATACGAGAACGGAACGAGAACGGATACGTCACTGCTTTGTGCATGTTCTCCGTGCGAACTAATGACGTCATCGGTTGCCTGGTCGTACGGCAGTCGTTTTGAACGTGATAAAGGTGACTGACTCGTAGTTGATTTCCGAGAGCTTTTCTGTCTGTCAATTTTGATTAATTTTCACTGATATTGTATTTTTTGTGATTTTGTATATTTGTGATGAGATAAGAAACATTGGGTGTATTTTAGCTGATATTTATACCCACTGAAAACGCATGACATTGATCTGCTGAAAGAGGATTCGGCAAACAGGCCTGGGACCTCTGCAGAGTGGGTTGGAACTAACTACTAATTCTGATTCCGGACGTGAAATGACATAACAAATTTTATTTGATAGATGGTTGCCAAATGAGAGATGGATTGACATGGTTCTGTTTCAGTTACGTTCTCGTTGTGGACGCTTGTACTTAATCGTTTTCCGACACCCGAGAACGTAACGCAAACGCAATTAGAACAACACGTTACGTTCCCAAATCTTAAACTTAAATTAATCGGTATTTACAATTTGTTTATCCTCGGGGGCGGAGCTACGTCACAAGACGTTCCACGTTGCTAAGACGCGCACCACTGTGCAAGCATTTCTATGGGCTTTGTGCGCGCTGCTGTGGAACGCCGGTCGACCCGGTGAAAATTCGAGAAAACAACACAAACTCAACTTTGAAATAATCCTGAACAACCTAATTTATATATGTTACACACGTAGGGCTAATCTTGTTACACTGTTCAGGGGAGTTTCAACAACCATCCCTAAGTACCGTTTTCTGCGAATTTTCCGCCTTTGTTTTCACCGCAAGGGTTGCCAAGCGGTGAAAATGCCCGGATGTCCGCCCCAAGGTATACTTCGGTACAGCACAGACCTTAAAATACAGTAGAAGCCTACTCATAATTAAAATACCCAGAATTTATTCATTTT